TTTGTGTGTGCTCTCTTAATGAGAGTTCATAAAAAATTCTACTCGGCCTCGGCATTATACTGATAAGTAAGGGTGGTTCTCGAATAGGCAAATATATGGATGACTGCATCAGCTTTGAGTAAGGATAGCACAGAAGATAATAAGCTTCATTTTCATACAGTAAGCCCATGGATAGATGTTTGCCACTGGATACAAGTAAAGACTCACATCTAGAGACGGGTGGTGAGGAAGTGTGTATCATCACCAGCTCCAGTCTTCTCTCAGCCAGCGTGACCTAAAAGACCACTAGGCAAAGAGGAAGCATTAAGAGAGAAGATAGTCATGCAAAGGGGATAGGAATGGCTGTGAGGTCTTATATAAAACATGCTATTTTCTCAATAGAACTAAAAACAGCTTTGCTCAGATGTGATAAGGTCCCTTCTGGATTCCGGAAATAAAACTTTCTATGTGTTCTACAGAAGAAAAAAAAAAAAAGAGGTCCAACCCATCAGCTAAAACCACTCATTGCATTACGTTATCAAATTTTCCTTCTGTATACTAGAAAAAGCATTTTATTATGTCATGTTAATACTTTATCACCCCATTCCTCACGGTTTTGGGAGGACCCGCTCTTGGAGTATGACACAGCAGAGCTCGATAATGGTAGAATGCTGATGCAACATCATAACAGCCAGACCACCCTTTTAATAAAGTCTGCAAGGGAACAAACAGCTTGTCCCAGTTTTCCACAACAACAACAACAAAAACCTTTCAAATAGTGTTAGTCACATAGAGATACATTTGAATAAAGATCGGAACAGCCAAAATTGCTGTGCTGCATTTGAGGCTGACAGGTAGGCTGAGTTTTATTAAATCATTGTGTTATAGAAGTCAAGACTATGGCCTAGGCTCTTGCCTGGGTCATCTTGGCCACGTTGGTCTTGCAATGCTTATACCAGGACCCAGAGGTGAAGGTTGATCCACTCTTCTTCCTTTTACGGGAAATGGAGGCACATTCATTTCCATGTACTAGAGTATCCTTTTGTTCTCCCAAAACATTACAATGCTCATCCTCATTTCCTGTGGGAAGGAAAGCTTCCATTCTTTAGAAGAGGTTCTGGGGACATCATACCCAGTGATTTGGAACCAGAGACCCCTAGTCGGCCCTGTTCATGCCATCTCTTCATCTCCCTACCCCGCTGGGCTCATGATGAAAGATCACATGTCCCTCCTTCCTCACTTCAGTAGGTGACTGCTTTTTAACAGATTTCTTCCCAGCACAGGTTTTTATTCCAAGAGACAGAGGGAAAGCTGTCTGACCAGGAGCTGAAACATTTCCATGGGTCTTCCTTTATAATGGTGTGATCCAACTGTCTCATTTTCCTTTCTCAAAAATCACTTTCTGAGGATGGCTAAAAAAAAAAGGGCATCCACATCCCCATGGGGGTTAAGATGTCACCTGAGATGAGTCTGCTGGCGCTACCCCGAGATAGGTCAAGCTATGCATTTAAGATGAAGCCTCTTTCTTCTTTTCTTTAAACCTTATCTGTTTGGAAGCAACAGTCCAAGATGTGTCATCTTGAAACACACGCGTCTGATTTCATTTCCACAGTGCCACCTTCGCCTCATCTCACACTGTCACAATGCCTAACCACACACAGTTTGGTCCATCCTGGATTTTCTACAGTTGTTGTCAAATATAACGTGCGCCAGAGAGAAAGAAGATACACAATTTTTTTTTTTTTGAGTTGGAGTCTCTGTCGCCCAGACTGGAGTGCAGTGGCCTCTCCCGGCTATCACAATCTCCACCTGCTGGGCTCCGGCGATCCTTCTGCCTCAGGCTTCCAAGTAGTTGGAACTACAGGTGTGCGCTACCACGCCAGGCTAATTTTTTTATTTATTGTAGAGATGAGGTCTCGCTGCCCAGGCGGGTCTCGAACCCGCGGGCTCAGGCAATCCACTCACCTCAGTCTCCCAAAGGCTCGGGATTACAGGCTGAGCCACTGAGCCTGGCCAGCCAATTTTTAAAGCATCAATAAGGAAATAAAAATCAATGTTGCTAAATCAGAATGAACTCTTATAGTGCATGTACTCTTTCGTTTACAGTAGATGGAATAGTGAAATGAAATTTGTGTTGCTATCATTGTTAATTAAGAAGTCCTCTGGAAATAGTATTAAATCAATCATATTTGGTGGTGGTGGGATATTTAAAGGAGAAGATATTTGACTGTGAAATGTCCAGTAAGGACAAAAGGCTTCATTTATTTATTTTCCGCCATTTTCAAAGGCCACTTAGAAGAGCAGATGCTTTTCCCAAATCTTCAGAGCCTCATTTCTTGTAAGGTATTCCATAGAGAGTTGAGGCTCATCGTAGGTTCTTGATCTCAAAGAAGGTGGTCTTGTGGATTGGAAAAGCTGTCATGATATATTTGCCCTGTAAAAAGATATTAACAAGTGATCCAGTAGCCAACTGTGAGCTTTCCCACTGAATTCCTGATACCACGTGACATTGTCACATGGTCTTTTCCTCCATTCTCATTCCTAGAAAATGACACAGATTTAGGTAGCAGAGAAGACAACTTCAGAAAAAGCTATGACTTGTACATGTCAGAAGTAGAGGACAGGCAGAGACCTTGGAAGCTCCTCTAGTCTTTCTAGAAGGAGCGTCTACTGATACTTTGCTTAGGATGACCTTTTATTATTCTCTAAGTATGATTATGGAAGCATTATCACATCTTACCTCCCAGAGAGGTAGCAAAGGTAAGTAGTATCGTTGAGCAAATGAAAAAAACGGAACTGTCAAGACTAAACCATGGGCTTGCCCAAAGTAAGTGGCAGAAAGGAACTAGTTACCCAAGTCTTATAATTTTTCTCTTCCCCACCATAGTTAAGAAAACCAAGAACACAGTTCAGGCATAGGTTCTAATCCCTCCTCTGCCTCTATCTAGCTATGCACCCTGAGTAAATCACAACATCTTTGCACCTTGGTTTTCTCACTTGCAAAATGGAAATCATTCCTGCTCTTCCTGCCCTACAAAGTAGTTGTGAGGAACACACAATATTCATAGGCCTTTCCTTATTTGCCCATGCTAGAAAGGAAATGATTTTCATGTTTGATCTTTACTACCAAAACAATAGGAAAATTGAGGCCAGATGGTGTAAGGAGTGGGGATGCAGAAGCCTGGAGCACTGGCTTATCTTCTAATTAGATACAGGACTTTGCCAAATCAATTAGCTTCTTTGTTTCTCTGTTTCCTCCACTACACTAAGGAGATTGTACCAGAACATTTTGAATACTCTTTCTGACCCAATCCGTGAGGTTTCTATCCTAGTTTTCTTTTCTCTGTGCCACACTGCCTCCAGACTCTGCTACATTTCCTAAAGATGAGCGGCTGGAGCATTTATGTGCTGTAAAGGGGTGAGGTATTGCCAAATCAGTGTAACACATTTGCAGTCAAACTAGGATTCTTAAAAAAAAAGAAAAGAATTGTTAGGCGCCTGTAGCAGCCTAATGGAATTAAAATCACCAAGTGATGCGTAATGAGAAGTAGGAGTCAAATTATTTTAGGAACACTTGAGACATGGTCCCTGGCCTACTCAAGAGCTCACTAGGACTCATTAGTCTGTGTGACAGCCAACAGAGGCAGCCCTCTCTGAGGTGTCCCCTCCTTAATAGGGATCATTTGTGTGCCTCAACTCCAGCCACAGTGGCAAATGTCAGCCCCTCTAAGAATCAGTCACTTAATTAGGTTTGCATAATAGAAGGAAAAGGCAAGCTCTCCAGGTACAATGCAAGGCAGGGTTTAGGCAGGGAAAGCAAGGGGCAGAGTGGACGTTTTCCCATTGGCATTGCACCACACTGAAAGCAAGATTTAGAAATTTACCGCAAAATTATATCTACAGACATACAGAGCTAGGAAGAGCATCTTTTTCTAGATTAGAAGAAAGAGAGTTATCTGCTGGAAGGGGAACAATTGCAATCTACAGATTCAATTCAATTCCCTAAGAAGAAATTGTTCCCCCTTATTCACACCCCTTAAAACACAGACACTCCACATCAACCCCCAGCACACACCAACTAGTTTTGCTCGCTTTACAATTCACAGAGTGCTTTCATGTCTGCTATCTTGGTCCATTCATAACACGGTGAGGAGACGGGGCATGTGCTGAGCCATTTTACAGATGAGAGAAGTGTTACTAAGCAAGATGTAGGCAAGTTGCCTGACTTCCCAAATGTAATGAGAATTCGGGTCTCAAACCTCAGTCTCTTGACAGAAAACCTAGTACTCTATCTCCCATTCAAGAGGAATCTAATTTTTGTTCCTCTTCTAAGTGAATCTAGTTTTTTTTAATTGAATGCCTAAAGTATGTGAAACAAAGTACCTAGGTACATTCAAGGAAAAGAGTTATGTAGAAATGGCCCCTGATCACAAGGAGATAAAATTTTTGTAAGCCAATCAGCATATGATAAACATTCAACAAAAAGCAAACCCACACTGGCGGTGATTCTCCAAAGTGTGCTGGAGAGATCCACTTGTCAGGAGTCGTGCCCATGGGCTGGGGAATGCGTGGAATTAATTTTCTGGAGGAGGGAGGTTTGGAGCTAACTCTGTGGGTACTAGTCTCAGAGCAACCAAGGGAGCATCTGTTGGAATCACAGCAGATGGAGCACATCAGAAATGTATTTTCCTTTTTATCTTTAGTTCCTTAGAGAAATGTGGTACCTAGGGGACTGTGGAGAGAAAATAAAAGTTCTTTTTTATGTCACCATTTCTAATATAATGGCATCACCATTACTTATTCCTGAGGGAGCCATTTAATTCTTTTTCCTCCCTAGTGGGTTTCAAATTAGGCCTTAATGAGATAAGAACAACCCAAGATATTTAAATAGGATGTTTTCTGAAGAATGCACTGAGTCGCTTTTTTTTTTTTTTACAGTGTCAATGGACACCTGATTCTCCTGATCCTTTGCTGCCTTTGAAAACCAAGAAGTTTTGTTGTCTAGTTTGATGGCCTGCAATTTCTGCTAACACCGTCGTGGGGGGAGGGGGGGTGGAATGTCAAATTGGTCCTTTTTAGCACCTGTGTGAAACTTTGACTTTTCGTATACTCGCTCCTTTTTTTCACCCCCCATGAAGATGTCTGAACCCGACGCTTCGTCTGGCTTTGCAGGTGGTGTGGAGAATGGGACTTTCCTCGAGCTGTTCCCCACATCCCTGTCCACCTCGGTGGACCCCTCCTCGGGCCACCTGTCCAACGTCTACGTCTATGTGTCCATCTTCCTCAGCCTCTTGGCGTTTCTGCTTCTGCTCCTAATCATTGCTCTCCAGAGACTCAAAAACATCATCACCTCCAGCTCCTCCTACCCGGAATATCCAAGTGAGGCTGGAAGTTCTTTCACCAACCTGGAAGTCTGCAGCATTTCCTCTCAAAGGTCCACTTTTTCAAACCTTTCATCCTGAAGACAATGGAAGAATTCAGCCGTTTGGGCCGTCCCTTACAGAAGGGTCGAAGGAAGTGTCACCTCATGGGAGAAAGAATCCTTTTGGTGTAGACCGGCTTTCCCTGCTCCTTCATCACTGCTTTCTTGTCCATTCGTGATGCTTTCCATGTGTAAATGGAGAAACTGAGGCCGGCAGAAATGAGTGCGAACCTGGGGTTGCATAATTTCACGCAGATGGCTTGACAGATCTGGCTGGGCTTCCTCCGGGTGAGTCATCTTGTGGCACCGTGTTGGACGCGGTAAACTCACCTAAGACAGCCTCTCGGGGATGCTGGACGTGGCCTTGGCACTTCATTTCTCTGATGGAACCGTGAACCCCAGAGAGCCCTCCGAAACTGGCAAAACTAAGTCCAAACTATTGAGAAGACATTTTCGGTGTTTAAAAGATAGAGTGAAGACACCAAATTTAACAAAGAAGAGAGAGTCCGTTTAGATGTAATGTATAACATTTCTAAAACGGGGCATAAAAACGGGCTAAATATTTTCTTTCATTTCACTTGAGCAAATGCAAATCACATTTATGGATGACTGTATGTCATCTGGAAGAGTTCAACTTTCAATAACAAGACGAAGATGTCTTATTATGTGCTTTGTAATGTATTTCTGCTACCTGTTTTTTTTTCTACTTATGTTGTAGCCAGAATGCCCCCGAGGTTGTGGAATTCTTTGTGATAATCTATGTGACTGTTATTAGGAGAAATACCAGAAGAGACACCAAGAAACTTTTACTTTATATTGATAATTTCCATCAGTGGGAATTAAGCATAGGGGAAATAATCACTTAGTTGTATTTTATGCAGTAATAACTCTCCACTGTCATGGATGTCCCTTTATTCAGTTTCATAGTCTTTATCATTTTAGTCAGAATTATATGGAGGCTTCGTGATGCCAGATGTCTGTTCACTCACAGGAGATTGCAAAGCTTAAAGATTAAACTGAAAATATACATGTTATTATATACTCCATGAATGTCACGTCTCTGATAATTAGTTGTTGTATGTTAATATAATACTCTGTGATAGGATTCCAGGATGTGGGTTTGCATTAAAAATTATAGACACTCTGCCAGACAAGGTGGCTCACACCTGTAATTCTAGCACTTTGGGAGGCCAAGCAGAAGAATGTCTTTGTGAACCCAGGAGTTCAAGAACAACCTGGGCAACATAGCGAGATCTCATATCTACAAAAAAAAATCAAAACACTAGCCAGGTGTGGTAGTATGTGCCTGTAGTCCTAGCTACTCGGGAGGCTGAGGTGGAAGGATCATTTGAGCCCATAAGTTCAAGGCTGTGGTGAGCCATGACCATGCCACGGCACTCCAGCTTGGGTGACAGAGTGGCACCCTGTCTCCAAAAAAAATTTAGGCACTTAAGTTGTGTAGCTGCTGGGCATCTCCGTGATTCTAGGAGTTGCCATGCTATGGTCAGTCAAGGAGATCTGAACTCGTCAGGAGGCAGAGAGGGCTTGTCCAGGAAATGAGGCATACACGTGAGCCCAGGCATAGAAGGTGGAGAAAAATCAACCTGTCCCTAAAAACAAAAACAAACTACAGCTTCTTGAGGGTGAGAATTTTCATTTAATTTTAAAGTAAAATAAATAAAAATAAATTTAAAAAATAAAATAAAAATAACACTGAGCTTACGCAACCCACAGGAGGCCATTGCATTGACAGGTCACGGGCTTCCTGTGGCAACTGAATCATTCTTTGTTCAAAACATGCCGTCATCTTAAGCAGTGGAGCTTCCACACGCTATGTGGTTGGATGGAGTGGTCAGCATTCTCGAGACTAGAATGGGAAAAGAATCCACTATTTTCACAGGGTCCATCTTTGTTGCTCTAAAATGCTGAGGGAGCTTCTTCTTCTTTTAACTCATAAACCTCGCTTAAATCAGACTACATTTAACTGTTCATACATCAAAAATGTCCCCAAACACCATAAAACCAGCACCAAGTTGCTGCCCTAAAATGTATAATGAGTGAAAAATTTGCCTCTGCTACCATTTAAAGCATGGCAGTGGGTTGGGTGTTAGCATGTAGTATAAAAACCGGACTAGAGAATTTCTATTTTAGAGCATTATTAGCATTCTCTGATATATATTCCCAATTGAAAGTCATGTGAAAGCTACCCAGGATTTCAGATGCATTTATGTTATATTACTTTTGCTCTTTGATTAATCTGTGCTACATTGGTTATTGAGAGGAAAAAGGACATGAGTGAAATGATTTTTTAAAACGCTAGGACAAATTTGCCACACAACAGGACAGTCTGAGTATGATCCATCCTCAGGGGAAACTGTATCCTTTCCTTCTGGAAGAGAAAGACTTCTGACAGCAAAGTGACTTTAAACATCAAATCAAATCCACAGGCATGCTCACACCCCACCCCTGCTGCAAGGGTTCCTGCCCTCGGCATAAAGTCACAAGGAGGAGCATTCAAAAGATGTAAAATAGAATTTGTCATCAGAAGCTTGCCAGGGTAACAGATTGTACAACTTGAGACAAATTCGTGTTGTTGGAGAAGTTCACAAAGGTTGAGAGGGATGTTATAAATAAAGAAATGGAGCCCATTGAACGCCTGGTTCTTCTCTGATTTCTTTTTTTTTTTCAGTGAGATGATTCACGACCTTCTTTCCTAGAGAAGCTTTTCTTTGGGGTTTTAAATAAATAAATATATGAGGGGGAAATCCCCAAAACAGAACTTATTTATTTGAAACTGTGTACTTATTTTTATATGTTTAAACTTCAGTCACCTTCCAGGCACTCTCCATTTGATGTGATACACCTATCCAGACGCTTTTTCCACTGCTCAAAACGGTTTTTGAACTCGTCCATTTTGACACCTTTTAGTGCTTCTGCTGTGTTTTTGTTTCAACTCTTCCACATCAGCAAGATGGTTCCCTTTGAGGACTTTTTTCATCCCTGGAAACAAACAACAAACAAATGTCATTCAGGGTGTGAGCTGGTGTATTGGGAGGGTGAGTCACAGGGGTCATGACATTTTCAGTCAAAAACAGCTGAAGACTCAGCACAGTGTGGGCAGTTGTGCTCATAAATCACCCATCATGGAATGGGCAAAATTAAAAGAATCTAAAAAAAAACAACAAAAAAATTCAGGCAACCCTCTTTTGGTTCCCCTCTTGTTGTGGGAGCTTTTCTGTCTTCTTAATAAACTCCTACTTTAAAAAAAAACAAAGATTTACTGAAGCCAAACACAGCCTCTCACAACACTAGCTCATACACTGATGCCAATGGGTTCCTAGAACACTTATCTAGAGGGGGAAGCCTGTAATATAAGGGGCCCACCTTCCAAAAGATAATTCCAGTTTTTTGGGGGGTGCCCCTTGTGTATATGCGCACACACCCACATATATATGTATAGAGATATATGTTCACACATATAGACATAAACATATCGCTCCTTTTCTACATGTCCTCTCTGAAGCAGGGTCAGTACTATGTGCCCCAAATGTCAGCCTCTCCCCAATCTTGCAAAGTTTACCTCTAGGGTGGTGGGTCCCATATTTCCCTGACGAGAAGCATCACCTTCATGTTTGGACAATATAGAGGTTCCCAGGCCACACCCCAGACCCTCAACAGTGGAGTCAGGGAATGGGTATTTTTAACAAGGACCCCAGGTGATGCTTATGACCAGTGAGATACACTGTAGCAGAGGAAGGACCACATATATTACTTGCGTGAATTTGCAGAGGTCAGGGGTGGGGGTGGAGTGTGTCTTACCTCTCAGCCATGGCCCATGTGACTGTGGTTTCTCCAAGCTGAACGTTCCACTCCTCACCCCCACGTCACAGCCCTCACCGGTTCATACTCTCTTGAATCTGAATCCAGGTCACCCTTCTCCTCCGTGGAAAGATGTGACACAGGGAAAGTCACATCTCTTTCCTGTCACATCTCTTCATCCCTTACAACTCTACTTTCACAAGATCTTGTACATATAACAGATTGGGTTAGAGGACTGGGGGCAACTGACTGGACTTATAAGATGAGAGAAAATATTTTAGGTTGAGCGTGGTAGCTCACACCTGTAATCCCAGCACTCTGGGAGACTGAGGCAGGAGGATCTCTTGAAGCCAAAAGTTTGAGACCAGCCTGAGCAACACAGCAAGATCTCGTCTCAACAAAAAAATCAAAAAATGATTAGCTAGGCATTACGGCACATGCCTGTAGCCCAAGCTACTTGGAAGACTGAGGCAGAAGGATCACCTAAGCCCAGGAGGTTGAGGCTGTGGTGAGTCATGATCGTGTCACTACACTCCAGTCTGGGTGACAGAGTGAGACCCCAATTCAATATATATACATCCGTCCAGCCTAAACCTTCAGAGAGCCTGAGTTACTCAAGAGAGAATACCTTCCTGGCTGAGTGTGGAGGGGTGTGGTGAGTACAGGCGGGTCCTTCAGGGAAGACGGTAACAGAGGAGCCCATGGGAGGCTCTGCACCTCCTAGGATCAGCTGTCTCTAGTGTCCTTCCATTAGGGAGAGGACAACTGTGCCTCTCCTGCTTCCTGGTTATCTGGAGGGCAGCTCTTGGATTCAAACATGCATCTGCATGCATACACACATACAAATACACACAGAAACCCACAAACGTACGCGGTCCTTCACAAACATGCACCTCCCAGGAATAAACAAGATAAATTATTGAGGTTCAAAGACAATACTTCTGTTTTCAGAGTCCACTTACCTCACTCTGACTTCAACAGCAAGCAGAGCATGGTAATTCCCCTTCACTCTTCTTCTTTTTCAAAGCCATGCTTAAACATCTACCACTTTGCAAAAAAAAATTATTATTTTTTTCTTATATATTTATTTAAGTAAAAACAGGGTCCCATTCTATGGCCCAGGTCAGTCTGGAACTCCTGGCCTCAAACGATCCTCCCACTTCAGCCTCCCAAAATGCTGGATTATAGGTACGAACCACTGCGCATGACCTGCAAAAAACATTTTCTGTTAACAATGCATTTTATTGCAACAGAGCCCACTAATTCACTTCTGATCATCTAGAGATCTCAGCAGACTGTTATAAGTACAGCTTTTCTTAATATTGGACTAGATCCATTCTGGGTAGGGTGCTTGCCACCCTGAACACTGTAAGGAGACATTATTATCAACAGACACTTATTAAATAGATGAACATATCCTTTGGCTCTAGATACAGCAAAGAGACATAGTTCCTGCCCTCAGGGAGCTTATACTCTAGTGAGGAAGGTACAAAAACAAATGAACAAACAATATGTAAAATTTCAACTGCAATTAGCACTATGAAGAGAATAAGACTGTGAAATAACAGACAGTAAGGGAAACTCTCTTAATCATGATGGTCAAGAATGGTCATCATCTATATGTATGGGGAGGAATCCCCCCAAAATGGGAATTATCCTTTGGAGGGCCAGCCCTTTGTAGTACAGGTTACCCACACCCCAGGTAAGTGTTCTAGGAACCCATTGGCATCAGTGTACCAGCTGGCATTGTTTGAGAGGCTGTGCTTGGTTTCAGCGAATTTTTTTTGTGTGTGTGTGATTCTTTCAATGAGTATGCTCATTTCATGATGGGTGATTTACAAGTGCACCTGCCATGCTGCGCTCAGTGTTCAGCAGTTTTTGACCCCAAACTGCATGACCTCCATCTCCCATCCTCTCTATTCACCCAATCTGGCCCCGAGGAACTTTTTGTTTCCTTGGATGAAAAAGGCCCAGGTCAGTCTGGAACTCCCCAAAGGGAGATATCTCCCTTTGGGGACATGTTCTCACTCATAAGCAGACCCTGAACAATGATCACTGAACAATGAACACTGTAAGAAAGGGATTGGCAGCGGTGGAATACTGCTGGGATGGAGGAGGGGACACAACATCAGTAAGGGGATCTGATCTCAAATCAGGCAAAGTCCCCAAAGGGAGATATCTCCCTGATGTGGAAGAGGT